AAAAAAAAAAAAAACAAGTGTTCCATTTAGATTTCGTATTTGCTTGGTAAATAACACCAGTTGGAGATACCTAATTGTGAAACAGAAACAGAAACAGATGTGGAGTGAATATTAGTAACTTGTACAACCCTTTGTGAAAATTCTACATTCTTACAAATACAGAATTGAACTTTTAACAAAGGACGTTCAAAGTTCGTCATGCATAGCTTGTTCTAACTCAGGAACAACATTCATATCAATCCTACCGACCAAAGGCGCCATAATCTCTTCTTGACCGGCCATGCCAGCTTTCACAGCACTAATCACTTTTCTCTGCAACTTTAGAATACCAATGCGCTTTGAAACAACATACAACACAGCCAACGAGAAAACAACAAACCCCATCACAATTATCACTCTGCAAAACAAAACCCAAAAAGGAAAAAGAAAGTTCAATCTTTAGACAAAGAGAGAGGCAACCAAATAAAGTTGTAAATCACAAAACCACTCTTCATGTTAGATAATTGCAAACAAACTCCAGTCATCTTCCACAACCAAAAATTACCCCCTTAAGGAAGAGAAAATTCATTTGCGAATTTGAGTAATGCAAGCTATATATATTGACGAGGGTATATTTGGTAATTGTTCCGTTCAAGGAAAAGGAAAGAGGTCAAGCCTGTCAAGAACATCTTGACGTTTCATGGTGGAGAGAAGGCCTCGGGTTCGAGAGAGCAAAGAGCGATGGCCCTTGTATTCGCTTTCGGCTTTCCTCAATACTCCTGTTGATTCCTCTGTGAAAACATACAACATGTTGGGAATCATTTTCTAAGTTAACACATGCTGGGAAATAAACAAATAAATAAATGACTGGAAAACATAGAATCCTCTCGTAATTAATTTATAAATAACATAAATAAAAAAAGGAATATACCGAAAGTCATGAGGGTGCTTGTACTCCTCTCAACCTCCTATCATCAGAATGAACGGTCATAATTACATATCACAATTTTCATTGGTACCAACATTACCAAATTCACAATAAAATAAAATAAAATTACAACCTGAACCATGAGCTGGCGTGTACGTCGAAGGCTTTCTGTGATGCTCTCAGCAACAGAAGTCATTCCTGCTTTCGTCCTAAAAAGATTTTATGATTAAATTTCATTATTCAGTACTTATACATAATCTCGAAATGTTTTCCTTGTCAAATACTTTCAGAGAACAGGTTAAGGAACAGAAAGAATATGCCAAAGAGCAAATTTACGTACTGCATATTGCGCCTTCGAGTTGTAGACTCTTCCCCACCTCCCAAAAGAAGCTCCCTCTGAGAATTACAACACATAGTATATCTTGATGGTCAGTTACTGAGATTAAACAAAGTTCCCATTATTCAAAAGCATCATAAATAAAGGTTAGCTAAGAGATGTACATACAGTCGAGAAAATTTTTCAACGTTTCTATAATGCTGAAATCTATTCTACATTTCAATGTCAAACGAGGCTCATTTAAACTTACCTCTTGTTGAGCAGTTTTCTTCATGTTTTCCTTTGCTTGCAAATTAGCATTCCTTACACTCAGCCGTAAACTACAATTTGATTTACACAATTAACAGATGTTACAACACAAACAGTAAATAGTAAATGACCACATTGCATGTGCGGTAACAAACAAAACCCTTCACTAACCACTAACCAGTACTCACAATCACTTTACTGCAACAATTTATCAAATATCAAAATAAATCAAAACACAAACTCAACATTGCACTAGTAAAATGAAGATTTCATTGGACTGATCAAAGTTCTACCAAAGCTCCATCTCTTCAACACTCCTCCACCATAATATCTCATCCAGGTACCACAAAATAAGGTACTTGCAAAGACAAATATCATCCAAACAAAATGAGATTAATACACACACTTAACCATGCAGGTATGCACTAGTTCAACTAATATCAGAATGACCAAAATGCTAAAATCAATTCAGTGTTTAAGCTCAGCGCATATCTGCCACATCGACTTTTTTACATTATTTCCTGTCCTTTTAATCTTTTATTTGACCAACTAATACATTTAGGTAATATACTGAAAAACCGCACTCCAATCAGCAGATACAAACACAACCAACGCATTAGAAATTGCAGTGTACACTTCAAATCCTCACGAAACTGAGAGAGAACGAAAGTATAACAAAATAAAGATTAAAAGGCACCTCTGGATTTGTTTCTCCCATGACTGAGCCAACGATTGCGCCTTTTCAGCGTCATCAACGAAGGGAAGTTGCGGGGCAAGAAGATCAAGGTTGAACTGAAGTGATTGAAGCGTGTTAAGGCCATCGTGAGCCAGCCCATTTAATCTCGGCAGAGAATCTATCTTTTCTGATTCGCCGGGATTGTCAATCCTTGATTTTATCCCGTACTCTTGAATCGACTCAATGTGTTTCACCGTTTGGTCGTATGTTTCTTGGAAATCCCTTTTAACTTTCTCAACTTCTTGTGTTACTTGATCCATCTGCATGATAGTTAAAGAACTGGAATCTGATGACGTGAATTGGAACTGTCTTTACATGCGATTTACTGTTATTTTCAAGTGATTTTATGAATTTGAACGCTGTGGAAATATGAAGAACTGCCATAATCACCTCAAAGAAAGGCACATAATCAAGCTTCTCTTACTCTAAACTTGAGCATACTATAAATTGATTCTTACTGAAGTTAAACATCCTTAAACTCTCATGATTACAGCAACAAAACATCGAAAACCGACGCTCTGCATCCACTTAAAATAAAATGAAATAAAACAAGGCATGGGGTATGAATTGCACATATACGTGGGGTATGAATGTTGTTCCTTTGTTATTAGCATGGGGTGTGTCTGTGTATGTTTTGTAGGGATACAAATGAATTGCTTGAGGCGAAACTGTTTGTCTATGTTTCTACACTAAAAAAATTATTGTCCAAGTGAAGTTGTTCAGTCCTTGATTTTTAAAATTTTTTTGGTTTGATGAATAAAATGTCCAGTGTGGAGGAGGCAAAGAAGAGAATATATGCACTAAGCACGACAACTTATGAGGGTTTTCAGGTTTTATGTTCAGAGGAAACATCCAACACAACCCCAGGAACACCTGAAGACAACAAAAACTCCCGAGTGAAAGTGCAACTTTAAAAGGTGTTTGTGGGGGAAAAGGAAAAACGTGGAAAACCTACCATTAAACTTGTTGGATATTTTCACTGAACATGAAACCTGAAAACCCTGCACAAATTAAGCGATACAATTTAGGTCTTATAACTGAAACTAAGACTCTGCAATTACTCCAAATTCAGCATGTTAAAGACGTCACAACCTCTCAGCACAAATGCATACTCACAAGGCACCAAAATTCACATGGATATATATTTAAAGCAAGTAATGAACTCAATAAATAAACAAATATATAATAACATGTCTCCTGAAGCATTTCAACCCAATACAGCTCAAATCAGCATGTAAAATCATCAAAGATTCTATAATATTTAAGTATGAAAAACACATCAACACAATGCACATATAAGTCACAGAAATTTAATGCATGAACACTTGAACTTATAGGTCCAAATAACTTTTCTGTTCCTTCTTCTTCTTTTATTTTTTTTTTTTTTTTATTTCTTTTTATAACATTAACTACCCAACTGAAGGTTATTAACAGCTACAATTAGGCTCAGAATCAATAAACCTATGTACCATGTACAGCAATTTCAGAAACAAGTCACACCAACATGAGGTCAAGTTCATAACAGATCATGCCTTTCTTATTTTCTATCTTTTCTCAAACTCAACCACAACAATGGCAGGCCTTAATAACTAAAATTAAAAGTCTAGAAAGCACTCCATAACAGCATACCAATCAAGTATACAAGCTTAGCAAGACAGACTTCATAAGAGGCCAAAACATAACAATAGCATGCCTCCATTTGCACAATTCATTCTCAAATATTTGCAGGGCCCCAAAATAAAAACTGAGATAAATATGCTCCAAATACACATTATTTCTAGCAATATAACTCAACAACATCTCAACAATATCAACACTTAACAACTCTGCTAAATAAGCAATAAAACTCCAGCTAAAACCACATAGATATAATTCAAAACTTCCTCGTTTTCACTAAGTAAACATGCCATCATATAACTTTATAAAACCAAACTTAAGCTCAAGATTTTGGCCGAAAATAAGGATCAGAGGTCTCAGCCCTTTACCTTTCTTGAGACTAAGGAAATAAGCCGAACGAAGGCTTGATTCGCTGCAGCCGGACGCTCGATCAATCGGGTCTGAAAAGGGTTCAATCAATTTACCATTCGGGTCTCAGAACAAAACCAAAAGGGAGGCTCCGGTCTGAAAAGGGTTGCCGCTGTTGCTCGGGCAGCTAAACGGAAGCCGACGGGGAGTGTTGCGGCTGTCCGGGCCTGAACGAAGACCGACGGGGCGTAAGGCGGCTGCTGTGGCAAGCGGTTACTGGATTTCACGGCCAGCGAGGTGAAGGGACTTCTCGACGGTGCAGCAACGATTGAGAACAGGTGCTGGTCGTGCGAGAATGATCGCTGGCCGCGTTCGGGACTGCCGGGGGCTGCTCGACGGTGCCAATGACCTAACCTGCTGCTCGTTCGCGCCTGGGAGTCGAAGTTTTCAGCCGTAGCCAAAGGATGGGGCTGGGATGAAATTTCTCGGCGATGTTCGATTTGGCCTTGGATGGTGGTCGGGTGTTGCGAATTCAGGCCTCGCGACGGCCCAGCAGCGGTTGGTCGGGACTCTTCTGAGGTTCGATCGCGGCTCGACGTCCGGGAAAAGCTCCGCCGCTGCTGCTCAAGGTT